AGGGTAAATGATCTACTTGGGGAAACCTTTTCGAAGGGGATGAATTTCAATTTTTAATAGTAATAATAGCCATCAAAAGCCATGAGGGGGTTGATATCGAGTAAATATAAATGCTTTCGGGACACAGTCGAATTGAGCTTTTGTGACAGGGACAGTGTTAGAAACTGAATATCAAGGAATACTAGACTTGCGTCAAATTGTTACATTAATCGTTACAAGGAAAGGGTTGAAGAGACGGATCAAAGGAATTAAAATTTGACGTATTTATCCTTTGAACGTTTCTAATTTTTTAAGTAGCTTACTTAACTGTTTGATAAAGAATAGTTTACCAGTATTGGTGGGGGGGGGGGGATTATAATTCCCCTCGACCCATTTATTAAAGCCCGATCTAATGATATTTTACTGCAGCAAAAAAATAGTTGCTAATTTTTTAAGTAGCTTACTTAACTGTTTGATAAAGAATAGTTTACCAGTATTGGTGGGGGGGGGGGATTATAATTCCCCTCGACCCATCTATTAAAGCTCGATCTAGTGATATTTTACTGCAGCAAAAAAAAAAAAATTATAATAATAATAAGGGTCAGTAAAGTGTGAGGACCACTGACCTAGATGAAAGTTTCCAATTTTCCAAGCAAATTGTTAATATAAGGAGGACGACTGCGTTCGTTTACTTTTTTTTTGTAGTGAGTAGAGAGACCTCTTAAGGATTGGCCAACTCTAGTCATATGGTAGATTTAGGAAAGAACTACTATATAAATAAAAAATATAAAATAATGTACAGATTCCTATTTGTGTGTGTTATTTAAACGTTGAGTAAACGCCTCGATGAATAATTGTACACAAAGAGGAGCGGTCATGTATTAAGAACTAAACTAGCTGTGCTACCAGGTACGTGAGCACACGTTGCGCCTACAAAACCTCCTAGAAACATCTATTTCTCCAACTCACTGATCACTTATGACACAACGTCCGTAATCGACCACTTTGTCGCGACCTGAATATATATTCCATTTTTTGAATTAAGTCCCTTTTGAAAACATTTCTAGAAATAGCCCTGCGTCACTGTCCAAACATCGTATACACTCGCCTTCCTCCATTGGAACGACACCCACCTCCACCCCCACCCCCTCATAACCGAATCGGCGACGTGCGCAGTTTGACTACAACAAGATCTAATCGATTTTTCACTGGGGGTTGGGGGGGGGGGAATTAGGTTCACTAGAGTCCATCGCTTGTCCCAGTAAAAGTTGTGTGAAGGTTCTGTCCGTCTCAGGTATTTCCACACACCCTCCTCACCTTCATTTACCCGTAGACGTCGAAGCAATAAAAGTTTGATGAAACCCAAACTGCGATCAGGAGAGGCGAGAGATCAAAATCTGGTTACCTGACAGTCTGACACAGCGTAGTGAAGAAATTCAATCTAAAACACACTCTACACGGGTGCTGGAGTGCAAACATGTAGGCTTAAACTTAAACGTTGGTGATAACTGTTGACATAAGGCGTAAGGTGGTCTTTTCTTTAAAAGTATGTGCCAGTGTCTCAATGACCCGAAGCCTTTAAATGTATGTATATCACACACAACACCCTAAAAGATCTAGATATTTAAATTCTTATGGGGGGCTTGATCCTGGAGAAAAATACAACATTACAATATAGGAAGCGTGCATATGGTAATTATTCTAGAACGCAGAGTAGGTAAGGGGCAGTTTATCATTGTGTTGTATTGTTTTCTATTGTGTTATATGGGGTGTGGTTCATGGCATTGTTATATGTGGTGTGGTCGCCACCAATGCTATATTGTGCTATATGGGGGTGTGACCGAGAGCAATGGTATATTGTAATATACAGGGTGTGGTCGAGAGCAATGGTATATTGTAATATACGGGGTGTGGTGGAGCTGAATACTATATACGAATTCTATTTTGGAGATTAGTGAATAGCTCTCATGACATCATGGTTTTAAAAATAGCGTCATAAAACTTGTCAAATGAATCACTAATATTGCATTTGACAACAGAGAAACTCCAGAAACTAGAAAAAATATCGGAAAGCGTGTACTTAATTGCTGTTCTCTGCATAGAAGTCCTGTATTTTCTGGAGCTGCTATAAGGCAGTGAACTATAACATTCCCCCATCAAGTTGCTCGCTTTGTCTATGGCTATGTATTTCCTGTCCATATTTAAGTACTCCCTAGGGCAGTGGTTCTCAACCTGTGGGTCGCGACCCTTTTTGGAGGCGAACAGGAGTCGCCTAAGACCATCGGAAAACACATATTTATTAAGTAGCAACGAAAATAATTTTACATTTGAGGGTCAGCACAAAATGATGAACTGTATTAAAGGGTCGCGGCCTTAAGCAGGCTGAGAACCACTGCCCTAGGGCGACTGGGGCAAACCATGGGCTTCATATCAAATGACAAAAGATTTCTCTACCGAAAATGGCAAAACGTCTGTCGGAAAGTTTAAACACAAAGCACTCTTATGGTATGTAAGCACCGTCGTTACTAATACTGTGAGCTTGGACTTGGAATTTGAACCTGAGCCACTTGAGTGTTACAGAGAGTTTAATACAGACAGTTATTTTGTAAACCATAAATTAGAAAATTACAAGAAGTGTTTTGTGAGTAATTTATTAATACTGTCTGATATTGGCCATGTCACTTCAATGTTCATACAGGAAAAACGTCTTGACGGCCAGCAACTATCTACGCGCCATGTTATAAAACAAAAACAAAAAAACAAGAAGAAGAAATTGACACAAATGGCGTATGAAACCGAAATATGAAGGGTCAAAAAGTGACTTGTAATCATTAAGTTCATAATTATGACACACTAAGCTTTCGGATATAAGCCGTTAGCTCTCATAACATCATGATTTTAACAATAACATAATAAAACTTGTCACATGAATCACTATAACTGCATTTGACAACCAGCATATGTTTCAATGTATCGAATTTGAGTTGCGATACATGTTGTTTTAATCAGAGGAAAGAATCCTATTTGTCTCTGTACGCAGTTGGTCGGAAAACGTCACAGATCGGAACATTTCCTGACCTTTCGGGGACGCCGGGACATTTCCTGACCTTTCGGGGACGCCGGGACATTTCCTGACCTTTCGGGGACGCCGGGACGGTTGGTGTGAAAATAGGGACTGTCCCGGGTAAACCGGGACGTCTGGTCCCAGTACGTCAGTCCACAGAGTCCTGAGAGGGAGTCAATCTTTCAGTAACAGCCGTTAGACTTCGTTAGTTTACAAGTAAATGTCATTAAAATAGTATAAGACCCACATAATTACATTGCCTTATTAATAATATTGTCTCATAGTTTCATAGTATTATGTTCCAATCAAATATTAAGTTTATTTACATTACTTCGTCATTTCATTGGGGTGGGGGTGTCACCTGATCCCTTGACATAAGCTGCCTGCACCTATGGTGAGGTGTGTGTATTCGAAGTTAAGATAAAGGGTCAGGCTGGCTTAAGTTGATGCTAAAGAGTGACTACCGAGGCACTAAAATTGCACAGCGTAAAGTTGTGGGGGTTGTAGATGATAAAAACAAAATTTACACTTAAACTGATTTACACTGTTTAGTCTGATTTTTTTTTTTTTTGTTTGTTTGTTTGTTTGTTGTTTTTTGTTGAAAAATATAAAAATATATTTAATGGTAATTTGAATCACTGCAAGTATTAGGGTTATGATAGACATGAACTCAGGAAATGAACGATAACCAGGTCGACGGAATGTTTGAATCAAGAATTGATAGACTTGCAAACAGTCAATAATTGCCTGACTAACGAATTCCAATGAGATGAAAATGAACACTCACCCATTTCAACAACGGCTGCTTTCACTGCTACGCTTCCTTCATTATCAACGATAGGCCACACTTTGTTTCAGTTCCACGAATCCTACACAAAGTGATATGATCCCAACGCACCACCCTGGCTGTGTGATCGGGCTATCGACTCAGATAGGGATAACTTATCTGCACGCAAAAGTGGGCCGGGGTAGCGTGTAAGGGGCGGGAGCTGGTTATGTTTGAAATCTAGGACAAGGTGAAAAACCCCAAACAGGTTGAGATTGCATGCGGGTTCCCTCGCTTTCCCACCATCATGAAAAAGGAATCAAGAATCGGAATGGGGGGCAGCTGAGTCCTGTTTGCTATGTGAAGGTTGTTTTGAAGCAGTTAAAAAAGAAGAAGAAAAGAAATTATTGTGTTGTGGGGCTACTTGAATGTGAACACGCATGCCATAATGATATGAATCGAAGTAAGAAAAGTTAGCGAACAACTAACCAAAAACTTAACTACTTAAAGTGAATCAATTCTCAAGATTAGTGTAGGAGAATAAAAGGGTTATAAAGAAGATAATTTAAAAAAAAATATTGCAACTTAGCGGCGGCCTAAGTAAAACTAAGAAATCCTACTTTCAAGTTCTGCGTGTTGATTTACGCCAAGATTGCCCCCCCCCCCACCTTTTGGATTCGCGCCCCCCCCCCCCCAACCCGAAGTGAGCGCGTCTATTTAAAGAATACACCATAAAGTCACAAATCGTTTAAGACTCTTAATTAACTTAATAACATTGATAGCTGCCCCTAATACACGACAGCGAAATCGAAAATTAAGCCCTTGCCGAACTTTGACCCACATATATGTACGTTTTGAAGATTAACGGTTCTCACAAGATACTCAACACCTTTTACTATGTACCTCGTAGTAAATAATTCAGTACTTTGTTTTCTTGTGTTACAAAAGACTTTGAGATACAAAGCTAAAAACTGCCGATTTAGAGTATGGTAATTGATCAGCGTGTATTAACTCTTTTAGCTTTAGCTTTACAATGGCTATTGCTATAACCAATATTTAAATTCGTCTTCAGCTCAACTGCCTGTTGAATGCTTTTGATTTGATCTTGCAGGTAAAGGTGAGTGCGGTGTGTATTTGAACCGCTACTTTGATGTGGAGGTGTCCAATTCCTTTTCTTTGCTGAGGAATGAAGTGGGGCCTGTGGAGTTTTTTGTCTTTAAGGTACAGTCATCCATCTTACCATTTAGAGCTCATTGCTTCACTGCGACATTAATGGTACAGGACTCAAATAATGGAAATTTAAGGTACAACTCTCCCACTGCAAGACAATTTAGGGTGCAGCGCGCCACTAAATCACCATTCAGGGGACATTTCACCACTAAATCACCATTAAGAGGACATTTCACCACTACATCTCCATTCAGGGTATATTTCACAACAACATCACAAATTCAGGGTACATTTCACCACTACATCACCATTTAGGGTAGATTTCATCACTACATCACCATTCGGGGTATATTTCACCAGTACATCACCATTTAGGATACAGTGCTACCCTATGTGACCATTTAGGATACAGTGCTCCCCTTTGTGACCATTTAGGATACAGTGTCTCACTACATGACCATTTAAAATACAGTGCTCCACTACGTGACCATTTAGCGTACAGTGTACCACTATGTGACCATTTAGGGTACAGTGCTCCACTACATGACCATTTAGCATACAGTGCTCCACTATGTGACCATTTAGGGTACAGTGCTCCACTACATGACCATTTAGCATACAGTGCTCCACTATGTGACCATTTAAAATACAGTGCTCCACTACGTGACCATTTAGCATACAGTGCTCCACTATGTGACCATTTAGGGTACAGTGCTCCACTATGTGACCATTTAGGGTACAGTGCTCCACTACATGACCATTTAGCATACAGTGCTCCACTATGTGACCATTTAAAATACAGTGCTCCACTATGTGACCATTTAGCGTACAGTGCTCCACTACGTGACCATTTAGGGTACAGTGCTCCACTACATGACCATTTAGGGTACAGTGTACCACTATGTGACCATTTAGGGTACAGTGCTCCACTACATGACCATTTAGCGTACAGTGCTCCACTATGTGACCATTTAGGGTACAGTGCTCCACTACATGACCATTTAGCATACAGTGCTCCACTATGTGACCATTTAAAATACAGTGCTCCACTACGTGACCATTTAGCATACAGTGCTCCACTACGTGACCATTTAGGGTACAGTGCTCCACTATGTGACCATTTAGGGTACAGTGCTCCACTACGTGACCATTTAGGGTACAGTGCTCCACTACATGACCATTTAGGGTACAGTGTACCACTACATGACCATTTAGCATACAGTGCTCCACTATGTGACCATTTAGGATACAGTGCTACCCTATGTGACCATTTAGGATACAGTGCTCCCCTTTGTGACCATTTAGGGTACAGTGCTCCACTACGTGACCATTTAGGGTACAGTGCTCCACTACATGACCATTTAGCATACAGTGCTCCACTATGTGACCATTTAGGGTACAGTGCTCCACTACGTGACCATTTAGGGTACAGTGCTCCACTATGTGACCATTTAGGGTACAGTGCTCCACTATGTGACCATTTAGGGTACAGTGTACCACTATGTGACCATTTAAGGTACAGGACTCTCCACAGTTTGACCATTTAGGGTACAGTGCTCTCCAGTGTGACCATTTAGGGTACAGTGCTCCACACAGTGTGACCATCAGATGGCCCTAGCAATGTTTCAAGTGTTACTCAAGTTCTCCAGATTTTAACCCTGCAATAGCTAGAAACTGTAAAAATCATTTGTTGATTATTGTGCCCCTTCTAAGATGGCAACTGGTTCAGTTACATCACCCTTATGCTGTCTCTGGTGGCCTGTTTTGGTGCAAACAGTTGCTGATAATTGCTGATGTTTCTTTGCTTCGACTGTAATTGGACATTATTCATGATAAAAAATTATTGAGCTCAAATGTAATTCAATGGTATAATATTATACTTATATAAGCATAAATATAACTCAATGTCCTTAAATTGCAACAGAATCTAGATGCAAATTTTAAGGCATAAGTAGTTGTCAGAGCTATTTTACTGGAGGCATTCTTTTATCTATAGAGTTAATGTATTCATCAAATGTTTCCCGAGGAAGAATGATTGTTGCAGAAATAACACTAGAAATAAGTCATTAGGAGAGATCTTTAGCTCATTAATTAATCAATTTGATTTATGTCCATTAAGTTTGTCAACAAGAAGTCTTTGATGTTTCTATCATCCTGACCCTTTTTTTTGTCTCCAGTACTTCCCTGGCAAGTGTAAGTCCATCACCATAAGTAACTTGTATGCGCAGAGCACTACTTTGGAACCCACACCAAACTACGACTCCCACAACAGCAGCGTGTCGCCAAAGCTTGGAGACACAATTTTTACACAAATGGCCAGATCAATGGTAAGTGGGCCCGGTTTATACTAGTCATACATGTCTGTGGATGTTGTACTGGGGTAAAATGGTGACTCAAGTTCTTCCTAGTCATAGATGGTAGTGTTTAACTGGGATGAAAATGGTGGTTTTACATGAGATTTTCCTAGTCATACACATGGGATGCCAAACCAACTACAAGATTCACATTTAGCCTCAACTGCAGATGTGATCATTTAGTACAAATAGTAGTTATTAGTCCAAATGCACTTTGAGCTACAAAAAAAGATAATACCATATGGATACTATAATGATATAATCATTCTAAGTTATACACGGCTGCCATTTCTCTAACAATACATATGTTATAACTGTCAAGGTATAGTTGAGAGTATGCCAGTGTAATTCATGACTAATCTAATTTAAACCTCTTATGCCGGCATTTTTGTTCAGAACGTGCTGGAGCTCTCCCCTGCTGGAGCTCTCCCCTGCGTAGTACTGTTGCTCCTACCTTCTTGTTTGTTTCAGATTTATCTGTATGAGTACACTGAAGATTGTGTTCCTGCCAATTACCCAAGACAATGCTGTCCCTTTGCCATTGTGAAAATACAGAGAAAGATGCCAACAGAGATGTTATCCGCACCGTTAATGCCGATGGCATTGATGGTCCTCCCTAAATCTGGGATGGCAGCAACAACAAGTCAGTCGTCAGCTGAATCAGCATTAGCTGCTACTAACTCTAAACCTAAATCTACAGCAATACCCACCATTCCATCCGTGAGACTGAAGAATGGGAAACATCTGTCTGAAGACCCACCCAGTCGGCAGCTTCCTACCCCATCTGTGTCGAACACAGACAAACAAGGAAAGGGGGTGGAAGATGCAACAGTTGGTAATAAGAACAAAAGGGTCACCCATACCAGCACCAATGAATGTCAAGGACATAAAGATAAGAAGGGCACAAAAAATGGGACGAAAAATGGGACGAGTGGCGCTGATAGGAAATCACAGGATCTGCAGTTTGCTTTGGCTGCGTCCGTGGTTAATGATAAAGATCTTGGAAAAATTTCCTTGTCTGAGAAGGACAGAATTTCCAGAAAAATTGAACGTTTCACTTCATTTTCAAAACCATCTGATAAATCATTCAGAAGTGACCATTCAAAATCATTTGTACACTCCTCTGATGCAACAAAACGTCAGCGGGATAATTCTGCCACAAAAACTCCTCAGCATTCTGCAGTCGCATCAGATCCAAGAGATCCAAGGCTTGCAAGGTCATTGAGTGCACCAAACATCAAAGCTGATCCAAGGTTGTCCAGACCACAGACTTTTGCTGATCCCAGGACAGACCCTCAATGGCCCAACAAAGGCTTAGTTTCTACCCCAAAAGAGCAACAAGCCAAACTTCTTGTAACTGATGTCAAAAATGCTTCCACTGCTGACCTACTTAGCTCCAGCAAAAAACAGCATCACACTGCAAGGGGAAGTAAGAAGAAAATGTCCTATTCGGATTATAAAAAAATGAAGATGATGTCTCAGCACAGCAAGCAAGATGAGCCATTGTCGAGTGCAAGCAGCTCAACTGGCAGTCTGGTCAAGGAGCTGGCTAAACCTATCGGGGACATCCAAGGTGATGCTTCCATCAACCAGGTACAGGTGATTAGGACCAGTTCTACCCGTGGTGACGTTTTCTCTTGTCGAGATCGTCCCGGGTCTGGTCTTAAACCCATTACAAAGCAGTTCATGGACACCTCCCCACAAGTTGATTCAGTGGGCTCATCACCAAACATATCTTTGTCAGGCTTGATGCCCGAACATCGTCAACTGCTTCTACCTTCTGGGTTGAACACCATCACTCATCAAGAACTTTGTTCAAGTATCTTACATGAAACACCCACAACTTCAGGTCTTGTAAGTCATCCATTTAAGTCTTCATCTACAACCCATGGCCGTGATACTCAAAATAAATGGTATGAAATCAATGAGGAGGACCATAATAAAAGTAACAGTCAGGCAGGCTGCAGCACAGACATGACTGCATATTCTTTAGCCAACAAAGTGTCTTTCATCCCGCCATCACTTACATCTTCCAAGAAATGTGCCATATCCAAATCTCTTTCACCACTATCCCAACAGCCCGCCAAAAAAACATTGTTACCACTGCCCGTGTTCAATACAGATGGCACTGTGGGCAGTGTACTGAGAGGTTTGGTGGACGGAGTTATTGTAGAGTGTAGTTCTCTGACTGCCAAAAGTCTAACAACTTCTTCTTCGTCTGTTTGTCCTGGGTCAGTCAAGTCATTGGACCCTCACGGCAGCAATCCTGCAAACTGTGATGCATCCATTCCTACATCTGATAAACAAGACATTGCTTCCACCTCACCTGCAGTCAGGACATCAAATAACAAACCTGTTGACAGAGATTTAAGGCAGTTAACAACAAGTGCCAAAAAAAATATTGCTCTTGAAAAAAATCATCTGCCATCTGCTGACTGTAAGAAAATCCCTCTAGATAAAATGAATATTGATGAAGCATCAAACAAAAGTTTGACCAAGGGATTTGTCCAAAATTTTGCTAAGGTCTCCCCAACTGTTCTACAGACTGTGCTAAAAAAAACAGATAATGGCGCAGTCTTGGCTGGAGAGCAGGGAAATCTTCAATTGGTCAACAGCCTACAGAGCTCACCAGGGTCAACGGATTACACTAACACAGCAATGGACAATAAAAATGTCAAGAGCTTACTTCGGGCCTTTCAAAAAGCTGTCTCAGTGCTGCATGATGTCTCACCTTTGACACTCAGCCCTTCCCAGGGAAGTGAAGGCAATGAGTGGGTTTGTAATTCCCCCACAGCTAAAAGTGATAGCACCAACACACACAGTGTTATGCTGAGTGGTGATAAAGAGATTCCTGAAGGTGATATGTTGACTGGGGATAAAGCTGAGACAGAGTCTGAGGGACTCTCTATTGAAAGCAAGGAAGTACTTCCAAAAGATATTCAGTTGGTTAGGGCTGGCTTCCCAACACAAGTTGAAAAATGTGTTGTAGAGAAACCAATGCCAAGGGTTTTGACTCTGTCTGACCTGGGATTGAAGAGTTATCTTAAAATTTTAAGCAGATATGATTATCAGCCATCAGTCATTCTCCTAGACTTCAAGCAGGTAAGGCAGTTTTTGGCATGTCATGTTTCATCCAGTATTTCTAGATAAAGTTTTGCTGTAATAGGTACAAACTCAACTTTTGACCAAAATGACTAATTGAATCAGATAGTCTTTGTTTTTAATCACAGTCAAGTTTATTCCTCATTTTTTTCTCCCATAGCCAATTTTTTATCATGATATGGTCAGTGTAAACACTAGGATATATCAAACACCAATTAACAGTTACAATTTTTTCCCCATACTGTAAAGACTTCAATATTGACAATAGCTTTGATTTTGATATAACGTTCAGATCTTTCGTGTTAGGTCATTTCCTTACCATTTTTCGTTTTTGGCTCAAACCAATAGATACATCACACAGAATCTACTGTTTACTGCAGACTTAGATTGTACACAAGGCAATAGATCATGTTTGTTGCCAGGGTTCATGGGATGATTTAGCATAGTATAGGCAGAGCATCCTAATATCCAGATGGTGGCATCCAGTATAGCAAGATTGTTAAACTGCCATGTTGTGACACTTTAATTACCCTACTTTATATTAATGGTTTAATTCCCAGTTTAGAAAAGGTTACCTTGACATGAGTTTACAGTTGTAAAGAAAAAAAAATGTGAAGGCCAGGAACTAATTAGGAATTAGGGCCTTTGGGGGCTCTGGTATTGTAAATACTAAGACCAGTGGTGAACTTAGCACATTAGTTTAATCCTTTCACCTTTGTGCCAGATCTTTTAATTTTTTTTCCTTTTTTTCTTAACCTTACTTGGTAGCTTCCTCCACCCCTTTGGCGCTACAGCCCATGCAAAGCTTTGGCCTGCCTCACCACTTCCTTCCACTGAGACAACCCATCCATCCCTGTGGCGCTACAGTCTATGCAGAGCTTTGGCCTGCCTCACCACTTTCTTCCACTCAGACCACCCATCCATCCCCGTGGCGCTACAGCCCATGCATAGCTTTGGCCTGCCTCACTACTTCCTTCCACTCAGGCCACCCATCCATCCCTGTGGCACTATAGCCCATGCAGAGCTTTGGCCTGCCTCACCATATTCTTCCACTTAGACCAAACTGATACTTTTCTTTTCATTCTTGGGTTTCCAGCTTCTGTAGATCTTTTTCCACATCATCCATCCATCTAAGCCTAGGTCTGCCTTTGAGTCGTTTTCCTCTGGGGTTTTGCACCCTCTTCTCTGTCATTTGGCAGTCTTTCTTAGTGTCCCGCCCAGTGTAGCCCACCCTTTTTTATTTCTGCTATTGGCGTGGGATCCTTATTATAGGCTATACTATTCCTGGTTGGTTTGTATTCGCCATCCATATTCATCCTTTTTTGGTCGGTATATTTTCCGGATATCTTTTCTCTCCCATGTGTTTAATAGGTTTTCTGTCGTTTTTGTTAGGGTCAAAGTTTTACTGACTTATGTTACGACTGGTCTGATTACAGTTTTAGATATTGTTTTCTTTATTTTTCTTGTAATGTTTTACTAATTACAATAGTTTACAATAGTTTTACCATATGTATAATTGTCTCTGTCAAGAACTATTTTTAAAGCAATTAAATTTGATAGCGTACAACTAAACTGTAGTCAGTAAAAACCTGCTGCTAGTACAGACGCCTGATAACTGCGGTTGAACAAAAATTAACATGCTGGTGAGAAAACTTCTTGTAAAAAACATATAATAATAATAATAATAAAGTACATTTCAAAAACACGCTTCATCCCCAAAGGCTCGAAGCGCGGTACAAAGTCAACAAAAAACAAATCTATAATTTACCACATTTAAAACAAACGCAACACTACAAAAACTAATTACAAGCATACAATGTCAAAGTCTTTCAACCCATTTCAACTGGAGGTTCTTTAAGCCTGGGCCACATGAAGCTTGGGGGACCATGGCTCATTGCTCACTTTCCCTCAAGGATTGTGTGGTCTTGTTCAAGGCTCAAATCCATATAGGAAATAAGATTGTCGTAATTAAACATTTTAAAAAAATGTAATCCTACATGCCTTTTTTTTATATATCTGTCTACCAGAACATTGCGTGCAAGCAAAGCTGTAGCGTTTGTAAAAGTTTCAGAAACTTTACCACTGGAACTGAACAAGTAATCTCACGTGCAGTGCCATTTTCTGACCAAAATAATCTCAACTCTGCCAAAAATGTACATTACAAAGAAGGTCAGGTGAAAGTTTCTGAGTCCACCGTTGACACTGAGGCTGAATGTCAGGTTTCTAATGAAATTTTAACATTAGACAAAGCTCCAACAGTTAACAGTAAAGAGATCAACCTGGGTGCTGAAGATTCTATTGGTAATACCAATGCCAAGGACATCCATCCAGAGGAGGCTGGAAGTAGTTTCATATTGTCAGAGATGCCACTGCCAGCATCACCACCAACATCTCCACTGCCAGCATCACCACCAGCATCTCCACGACCAGCCTCACCATCAGCATCTTCACTCCCAGCATCACCACCAACATCGCCACTGCCAGCATCACCACCACCATCTCCACTGCCAACAGCATGCTCCTCATTGGCTTCATCCCCTCGACTTGTAATCCATGAGAGTTACACAGATCTTATGGAGGTTTGTACAGACAGAATGGATATTCACCAAAACATTAACAAGAATCATGAAAAAATTCCTGATGGTCACGAAAATCCCATGAATGACACTGGCAGAAATGTTACTGATGAAAGTACTAACTATCTTCCAGAAGATCCCTTCATGTCATCATTAGATCATGATCCATCTCCTCGGGTTCTCAACAATAAAAAAACATGTGAAATAATTTGTGCATTATTAATGAGTTCACCAAAGGAAGCAACATCTGTTTTATTAAATGAAGCACCAGCTATTTCATCAAAGGAGGCACCAGCTATTTCATCAAATGAAGCACCAGCTATTTCATCAAAAGAATCACCAGCTATTTCATCAAAGGAGGCACTAGCTATTTTATCAAAGGAGGCACCAGCTATTTCATCAAAGGAGGCACCAGCTATTTCATCAAAGGAGGCACCAGCTATTTCATCAAAGGAGGCACCAGCTATTTCATCAAAAGAAGCACCAGCTATTTCATCAAAAGAAGCACCAGCTATTTCATCAAAGGAGGCACCAGCTATTTCATCAAAAGAAGCACCAGCTATTTCATCAAAAGAATCACCAGCTATTTCATCAAAGGAGGCACCAGCTATTTTATCAAAGGGGGCGCCAGCTATTTCATCAAAGGAGGCATCAGCTATTTCATCAAAGGAGACACCAGCTATTTCATCAAAGGAGACACCAGCTATTTCATCAAAGGAAGCACCAGCTACTTCATCAAAGGAGGCACAAGCTAGTTTACCATGGGCAAAAGCTAGTTTACCAAAGGAGGCGCCAGCTAGTTCATCAAAGGAGGCACCAGCTACTTCATCAAAGGAGACACAAGCTAGTTTGCCAAAGAAGGCACCAGCTAGTTCATCAAAGGAGGCACACGCTAGTTCACCAAAGTATGTATCAGCCATTTCATCAAAGGAGGCACCAGCTAGTTCAACAAAGGAGGCGCCAGTTATTTTATCAAAGGAGGCACCAGCTAGTTCAAAAAAGGAGGCGCTAGCTATTTCATCAAAGAATGTATCAGCTATATCATTAAAAGAGGCACCAGATATTTCATCAAAGAAAGCACCAACTATTTCCTTAAATGAAGCACTAGCTATTTCTTTAAAGGAAGCACTCCATGTTTCCTCAAAGGAAGAACCTGCTATTTCCTCAAAGGAATCATCAGATATTTTATTATTGACACCCATGTCATTGGCTGAAAGTGTAACTTTGCTAGGAAAAGTTAAAACTGCCAAATCAAAAAACCCACAAGGTTTAGCTAAACAGCACGAATCCTGGTCTACATTACATACGCAAGAATTATTGAAGAGGATCGGCAGCCCTAGTGAAGTAAGTGACGAGGATTTATTTCGCGAGATGCTGCTGGAGGAGTCCTACCGCAAGAATAAGTTAACAAAACATGTTGACAAGTTTCACAGGATCAAGGAAGTTTCCAAAAATTTAGCTGCACTAAATGCATTTCAAAAAGATGGTAAAAAAAGGGAGGAAAAAGTGTCTACTCTTAATATGTTGGATTATTTGAAAGACTCTAAGCAGGCAACATTAGAGATACTAAGTTCATTTTCAGAGACTTCATTGACCAACCATCTAGACTATAATGTATATTGCGCTTCATCAGATGACCATAAGGGCTCTAAAAAGTCATTAACTCTTAATTCTAGAAAAAGTTTCTCAGCTGATCAGCTCAGTTCCTACAGTAGTGTAATGACTGAACAGCTCAGTTCCTACAGTAGTGTAATGACTGAACAGCTCAGTTCCTACAGTAGTGTAATGACTGAACAGCTCAGTTCCTACAGTAGTGTAATGACTGAACAGCCAGCCTCAAAGAGACATTCATCAGCTGGTGACCTTACTTCTCAGAGCTCCTCTCATCTGTTGGCAGATTGCACAGAAAAGTTAACTTCCCGGCCATTTACAACTAACCAAATGCCACAAAGTTCAGTAGTTCCCAGCACAAGTGATAATTCCTTATTACTTTCTACACACAAGAAAATGGATAAATCTCAAAAGAAAACTTCACAGAAAACATCCACTAGGGCACCAAATAGTAATACAGAGGCAGATGGTATAATATTGCTGCAGAGCCATTCCAAATCCTCACCTGAGTTACAAACTGGATACAACTTGGTGTCAGAGAGTCATCAGCCTTCCTCTAGCACCACAAAGTCCCAAACTCCAATTTCTGAAAAGCCAAATCATCCTTTTCAAAATCAAACCAAAATGAAAACTGAAAAGCCAAATCATCCTCTTCAAAATCAAACCAAAATGAAAACTGAAAAGCCAAATCATCCTCTTCAAAATCAAACCAAAATGAAAACTGAAAAGCCAAATCATCCTCTTCAAAATCAAACCAAAATGAAAATTGAAAAGCCCCCTTTTTTCCACAAAGAAAAGCCCTCATTAAATACTGAGGCTTTGAGGATTAGTAAGACAGGAACTTGTCATTTGAAAGGGGACCGACCTTTAATTGAGCTGTCATCTTCTTGTCACCAAAGCACACAAAAAAAAGACATGGGAAAAGAGAATAAGTCGCAAGAAGGAATGACTTTAATGGGCTTGAAAGGTGTTGAGAATATAGAGTCTGGACAAAGACATGGAGAGAATTTAAGAACACACAAGGCAGCTCCACACACTGCATCTCAAAACACTGCATTTCAGTGTATTGAGACTAAAAACTCAAGAAGTCAGGATTCTTTGTTAGCACAAGGACACAGCAACTCTGATGATGCTGTCACTAATGCTTGGTGCCTGCCATCAATTGACCTGGCTTTGATTCCAATGCCACCCTCACCCTTAACAAATAACACATCTAAGAAAAGAGATGAAGATAGAAAGTATTCCAGGGGTCTCTCACTACAAGACAACAATGAAATTAGCTTGAGTCTGACTGATTCCTGCAAGAAGCATTCAGCAACCATTGAAAATAAGACCTCCAACAGCCTTTTAAAGCCAGTGTGCAATCCTTCCTTGTGTCAACAAGTTTGGAGTGAAAGTCTTACAACAATAAGAAATTCACATCCTGAGAGCCAATCATTTGTCTGTCATGCTGCTAACCAAGATGTATCAACTCATGCCTTGTCTTGCAGAATACAAAAGAATATAGGTCCAGAATCTGAACCCAATGACAAAGTCACCAGTGTAGACCCACTTATTAATACAGACTTCAAGGGTAAGTTAAAGGACAAACAGTCTACTTCAATTAGCACCAAGTGGAAGCTATATAAAAGTAATATTTTAAAAGAACAAACTCAGACCATTCTAGATTTAGCAGCTGGTGAAACTCAGCCACCCACTGAGCTAAGCTCAAAGCAGCTGCCCCTGAATGTGGTCACTGGCCATGGCGAATTGCCAAATCCACTTCTAACAAAGGCAAGTGTGCCTTCTTTCTCATCGATCACAGATATTGCCGCATCACAAACGGATCAAGTCAAACAAGATACAAACTTATATTCTCCATCACATCCAACTAGCAGTCCAGTCACAAGTAGGTTCAGCAAACTGGTTCACTCAGATAGCAGCTGTGGAGATGAGATTGCCCACTCTAACAGTGGTCATGCTAACAGGACACCATTGCTGCCTGTTGCTGGTGACCATCAGGTTCTTCCCACAGTTGAACAACCTTTTGGAGATATAGATTATAGGGCAAGGCCTCCTGTGATTAACACATGTCCTTCTAGTTCCAACCAAGTGCAACCCATCATGGGCCCCGTTCACTCTGTGGCCTCAAACTCAACCGGTATTTATCAACCCCATCAGGGATATGACCCTAAAGGAGCAGCTATGGACCCTATTCATCAGGCACCACTGTTGAAAGCACCAAACCAAATGGAGCTTGTCCAGAACACTACAGAGCTCCTGAATTTATTTGCAGTCACATTTCCTCAGATCAATCCTGTTGAATTTCTCTCTAAGGTTTGTGAATATTTCCAGACCAACGTTTTACGGGGAGCTGCGAGCCACCAGGCTGCTCACCCGATGCCTTCACAAATGAAACATGCATCAAATTTTTTAACCCCGGGGCTAAAAGAAGAGCACCAACAACAGACAACACTATCTCCCAATGTTGTATCTCATTTAATGGCTCTGCACTCTCCTTCTGCAAAGGATACAAAAAAATTGGCACATTACTCATTATCATTTCCGTCCAATAATCTGTCATCATTGGAGAGTGACTCTTGTGCTTTTGGACCATCAACCTCATTTCAAAATACTTTTGATTTTAACTCACCATGTAATATTACAACAGCTAACAGTCTCAGGAATACAGAAGCCAACAGTCTCAGGAATACAGAAACTAACAATCTCACTGAATCAAATTCAGTTCCAAGCCAAAGTAATGAAAAATGCAATGAACATAGCAATGACTCCATTAAGAACACCGTCATTCAATGTGATGATTTGACACAAAAGAGTGTCCCAGAGAAAGCTGAGGGGATCATGAAAGAAGCAAAATCAGATATACCAGGTCTAGATCTAATAAAACTACAAGTAGATGTGACGGAGCCTTCCCTGGTGAAAGCTGAGTCTGCTACATTACAACATCACAGAGTGGATGTTACAAACATCAGTGAAGACAAGACTTCATTTGATCCCGAAAGTTTTTGGCCAGATTTGATTAAAGTGCCCGCTAAGCTTACTGTGGAGGACAGATGTAGAAGTATACTGAAAGCTGCACAAGAGAGTGTTAGTGAACAAAAGGTTTGTGAAGCTGGAGACGTCGGCGTGTCTGATGATGATGAAGTTATCTTTTTGCGTCCCATCATTAAAACCAAAAAGAAAATTAGCATCCAACTAGACCGTGACAAGGCTCTCAAAAAAGATCAGCAAGATCTTCCCAAGGAAGAAGTTGAGGAGGTCAGCAGTGTCCTGCCAAGTCTAAAGGTTCCGGAAGAACCAGATCCTTTTCATAACATGCATGTTGATGTACATCCAGTGGAACCAGACCATGTTCATTTCATGGATGTTGATCGATTGTTCAGATTGATATCAGAGAAGATAAAAAAGGCAACGCTGGCTCCCAAAGTAACTCTTGATGCTGACCAGTGCCCGCCAGTTATCAACATACTGGAAAATGCACTAAAACAATCGTACAATAAATTAATTGATGGAAATGATTCCAGTGAAACCAGAGAAACGGGGGAAAAACTGCATGTAGACTGTAATCCAAACTCCTTTGTAAAACAAACTCATCTCTTCAGCTCCAAACTTAAAGATAAGGTTACATCGCATAATATTCAACTGAACAGCTTTATGTTTTCCAAACTCGGAAACTCTGCTGCATCCAAACTTGGAGTGGAAACTTTGCCCAAGAACATTTCTCGATCGCCATCGCCAAAAACTTCAGCAGAAACTAAAATGTGTAGTCCACATAGGATTGTTCACCCACCTTCAAAGTGGGATAATTGGGAATTCTCAGAAGACAGTGATGATGCACCTAGAGAGGGACAGCCATTTTCTCCTGAAAGGGAAAGGTTAACCTGTTCTTCTGAGGTGACTCCAAAGAGTTCATCAAGGTTTAAGGAGAAACTTTTGAAATGCCAAACACGTAGAAAACATCGTCCAAGGCGACATTCGTTGTCTAAAAGCTCAAGTAGAAGTCCAACTGATGAAAAAAAGGCTCACATTTCCAAATTTTCAAGACAGTCTTCATCATCAGACACGAGCAGTTCAAGTTCAGACACAGAGAGCACATCACTGTCATCAAGTTGGTCGACAAGCCAGTCAAGAAGTTGGTCACTGGCTGGTAAAAACAGACAAAAGAAGTCTGGACACGTTTCTCCACCAAAAAGATATGGGGTGGCATGCGTTAATCATTCCCCAGAATATGTTTTGCCATGGATGAAACCAAGCTACTCGTCTAGCCACAGCTCATTGACCTCTCCAAAAAACAACGGGTCTCCAGCCAAGAAAAGAAAAGTAAAAAAGGGAAGAGCTGTCAGCCGTTCATCAGCAAGCAGCACCCTGAGTAGAAGTGGATCAAAGACAAGAGCTCCTAGGAAATCAGCTCCACGACAACGAACTCCTGGATACAAATGCTCAAAGCTGCATAGGGGTGGCTGCCCTTTGTCATCTGACAGTGAAACACAGAGCAACAGCCGGATATCTTCTCCATCCATTCCATCGGCTGGAATTCACAAATGTTCATCTTCCACTGCCACATCTCCTCCCCAGAAGAGTTATAGAATTTCATCCAAACCTGACTGCCACTACAATACAAGCCCATGTGACCTTATTTCACAAGGTTCTTTATTAGCTGACTCTAAAAGACTTGTTAATAAATCCATTTTGAAGTCAGGTCGGTATAGAGAAGATGTCCACTCATCTTTACACAGGCAGTCTTCTACGCAGGACACAACTCTCAGTGACTCCTCAGTAACACCAAACTATAGGACCTCAAAAAAACTCAGAAAATCAGCCAGGCTCAAAAGTGGTAGTGGCAGAGCCAAATTATCGAATCAATCAAATGTCTCAATATGTAAAACAAAGAAAAGACAAAATTCCCATTGTCCAATGCTCAGGGAAAAATCATCAGTGGAGAGAGATAACGATGTTGTTGACTTAACCAGCTCAAAAAGTGAAGGTAAGATTTACCTAGCAGACATACCTATTGATATCTTGGCACTTGCTAGGGAAAAAATTCTCAATGAGATAGACCAGCTTAATGATACCAGTGAGCCTGTGACTCCGCACACTGTGGGCTCCAGGACTTCTCATGGTGAGATGAACTCCAGAGAAAGTATCAGTTCTGTCTCAGGCATGGCAGGGGAGCATCCAGTAGTGTGCAGTGACGCAGAGCGTGAAGACGGAGAAATTTCTGAAGATTTTATAAGTGAAGATCCTTTAAAGAAAAGTTCTCTTTACAAAGATGATGACCTATTGCCAGCAGAATGTGCTGATAACAATAATGGGTTGGATGCCTCATATATGAAGAAAACACCACACCAGAATCCCTCCCCACAAAAATCTGTGAATCAAATTGAAAAATCAACCAAAACTGTCAGGTTAAAAAGTACTGTAGTTAAACCTGAAATTGCGGATGTTGGGAGGTCCAACAATACATCAAATGGATGTGCAGTTTCAGACAGTGATGACTGCATAATACTGGAAGATATGACACAAGACCAATGCCCCACAAATGGTCGAAAACAAATTAGAACAGACCACAATGACAGTCTGTCACCTGAGAGCAAATGTAGCCAAAGATATGTGCGTGTTTATGCTAAAGAATGCTCTGGCAATCAGCCAGACACAGCTGGGTGGGTAAAGTCAAATGCAGGAAAGAAGCCCAAGAAGGTAGGAAAATCTAAACTGAAGAAAAAAGTCAAATCTCTTCCATCATCCGGAGATCAAGAAGGGAATCACGAAGTAAATAACTCAGCTGCAAATAAAATTTCACCTGACCTATCAGCAACTCAGAATACACAATGTCCTGCAGCTGACGGGTTAAATACATCGGAGATAACTGTGCCGTTGAAATCAAGCCTAGGTTTGTCAGAAAATCTTCAAACTGAGAACAATTTAATGATAAAAATTGACAACAAAACCAAATCCATTCGGATCGGAGGTGATAAGGAAACAATAGTGATCAACTTTGAAGGTGAGATCACTGCGCTGCCAAAGAACATTCAGGTCATACCCTCCTCCCATCAAGTTCATGAGTGTGTATTGCCACTTGAACGTACCGAATCATTGGCCAACAACAAAGAAATGAGTATCTTGTCAGCAATGTCTGTGAAGCCAGGCGCCGAGGCACTCGCCAAGAAAACAGTTAATGTTAAACCATCATTGAATAAGCAGGGGGAGAGCAGTGGGACACATCAGGGATCCGTTAAATATTTGAAAAAGAAACAAACTCCAGAGAAAATAGTGAACAAGAATACTAAAGAAACAAGTCCAGTCAAAAATAAAATTAAGGCCGAAAATTTAGTGACAAGTGCCAGAAAGAACAGCGTCAATAACAAAAAGTGCCATGAAACACTGCAGGCTGGTGGATCCAAAAGGATTAAGCAAGGTGGTAAACTAGAAATGCAACATTCACTGACTGCTGATGTGGTGTCAAGGGGGCTAACGGTGCCAGATCTGGACAAGACCAGAAAATGCCCTCATTCTAAAGACACAAGAGGCAAAAGGACATCCTCACCCCACAGAAGCCATCAGAGGATACTAAGACTCAACTCGTATTCTCATATTAGCAGAGCTCCCAGCAGCCCCAGAGGTCGGTCATCATACAGTCGGCCCAAACGAAATTTCAGCGGGTCTTCCTCTAGGGACAGCACACCCAGCCACTACAGGAGGCCTTCACACAGATATGAGAACAGTAGGAGCAGATCTCCTGACTGCTGGAGAAGGATGAGTGGGAGACATTCTTCCAGCCGTAGCAGACGTTCCTCCAGCCGTAGCAGACGTTCCTCCAGCCGTAGCAGACGTTCCAGCCGCAGCAGACGTTCCAGCCGCAGCAGATCTCCAACAAGTGTTTCCTCTTACTCAAGAAGTTATTCCAGCTCACACCATTCATCCACTAAACGATGGAGGAGTAGAAGCAGGTCTCCAGACTGGAGCAGGAGAAAACGAGAAAGTTCCTTTTCACCCTTTGATAGACTTGGACAAGATTTCAGCTCATCAGTGAAAAGTAGGCTTGATTCACTGCTATCTACCAATCATCACAAATATGATTCAAGTCCACCACAAAGACTTGACACTTCATCTCATGCCTACTCAGCCTCAAAATCTACTGATGAATTATGGGAAATTTACAACAATTCTAATAATAAAAAACTGCAACCGGCTGGTCAGTTTCTTGATGTAACAAGCAAGAGAAAACTTGATCCTAGTTGTGACCTAGATTATTACACAGCAAAAAGGCCTAAAAAGGAAGAAACTCATTTGCCAGCTAAAATAACAAATCATTCAGCAGCAAAGAGGCCTGCCAATAATGAACAGTTCGATGTAAACGAACTAGGCCAAGAATCAAAGACGTTTTCAAATAATTCAGATGCGCAATTATCCAACACGCTTTCCAATACAGTTCTCAGTAGTGATGAAAGCTCAAATGCATCAACTTCAACTTTAGGAGAAACCAGGGTCAATGTAGCCATCCCAAATTTAACGGTGAGACAGTTCATCTTCTCGCAGTTGGGCTTTACAATGGATGAAACTCAGGCCTCCAAGCTTCCATGGCCTCTAGAAACCAACCTGAATGAACTCAATCTCAGCTTGACAGAACAGGAAGCTATCAGGACAGAAACCATAGGGGCATGTGCTCACCTTTTAAAGCTCCCCAAACTGATAACTGAAAGGAAATTTAATTTAGAAGTTTCAGATTTGTTGCTTCACCCTAACATCTCGGACCATCAGATTCTTTTGGAAGTAAATGTTATTAAACAATGCCAGAAGATTCTCATGCAGCAGCTAAATTCAAGCCTGTTGTGCAACTCCCTTGACGGCATGGATCAGTTGGCACATACTAGTGAGATGGAGCTTGTTCCAGAAAAGCAAACAGGAAAGGGAACATGCGATGAAATTATTAAGGGTGTGGATCAGACTCCTGAACCTTTCCCAGAGTCTCAGAGCTCTGTAAGTGCAGCATTGGGGCAAAAGATTGAGAGAGTTGAGGTGAAGAAGACATTGCCATCTGGGATATCCTTAGGTGATGAGTTACCACCCTTGTTGCAAGTTCCAACCTCTGAGTTCAGTTTTGAGGTACCACAAGCCCCACTGTCTGAAACAGATGTCAACAACATAAAAGCGTCCTTGGAAAGGACAGCCAAAGACTTGCTGGACTTGTACCAGAGCCAAAACTTTGGCCTTGCACACTACCCAGTTCCAGACCTCCTGCTTCTACAAGAGGAACTCGGCCAGGTTTACGACAGAGGCGGTTGTTTTCTAGTTTTATCCTCCTCTCTTCCTGCCAAGGTCTTCGTCAGGCTAATTTACCTTCGAAGCCAGGTAGAGGTTCTACAGAGGAACAAAGAGATGAGCGCAACACAGAAAAATGAAGAAATCAACAGGCGCTGTGCAGAGGTTGGTGGATGGTAATTTAATTAATTCAGAGATGTTCCTATTCTATCAACCCATTTAAAATCAAACTAAAAATTTAAAATAAAAAAAAATTCCACTTACCATACTCTCCCTTTTCAACATGCATTTCATGATGTATCACTGCCTGCCCCATATTCTTTCCCCCAATAGTAAACCTGACCTTGTTTGAGGAAGTAATAATAATTTATACATTTCAAATCCAAAGAAATCATCTTTAAACCTCTACAATGGGAAATATAAAATTATTTGAACTGACCTGTCAAGCTGCTGCTGTTTAAAGTTGAATGGTAGTAGATCACCATGAGAGTTTGATGATAATATGAAAAGCCAAAAGAGTATTCGCTAAGAAAGGAAAATGACAGTGCAGCAAGACAAAGAAAGTACGGTTGGATAATGATGGTTTAAGGCATGAAAAGAATCTCTTGAAAACACGAGTACAAATTTTAAGAGACTAAAATAATTCAACCCCTACTCACTTCCTTTTTTTTTTGGTTTCCAAGTTAGGTTTGATGCCTCTGAATAATGTTTTCTAATGCTGTATATGGAAATGGATGATAATTGAAACATATAAATTGACAGAGATCCCGGATACTGAACTGTCATGTGGGAATGATTACCAAGAAGAAGATGAGGTCCATGTCCTTGCTGCACAGTAACTACAGGATTTGCAAGAACTACTTACTCAGTGTCATAGGCAAGGGTGGTCTGAAAAAACTGAATCTGTTTGAATCAAGTCTAAAGGCTGTTGTGAGGCATTACCAAATGGTCAAGAGAGAGTTTGTAAGTTCTGCATTGTTGCTGGAGAACAATTAGACACCAAGTTGTTAAAAAAATTGATTACAAAACCATTTGTTTCTGTCAAAATTGATTAAAAAATCCTAATCTGAGTTAGGAACTTCCTCCTTTTTTTAACAAAAATACTCAAAAACTGTACCTCACCCACAATAATATTTCCTAAAAAATCAGCTCAAACAATTATAATACCCTGCATTGACCAATTCTCAATAAAGTTGGACCTTGACTGTTTCCAACATTGCTAGAAGCAAAATTAACAGACCACATGCTTTATGAACTGATTTTAAATTAGTTTCATTTTAGATTCATCATCAAATCAGAAAACATTGTATCTTATTTTCAGGATAAGAATACAGCTATTTTTCAAATGACTAAGAAATGAAATATTCCTATTGTCCTCTCAGGCCTTTCTCTAAGAACCTTTATATAAAATAATGAGCAATTCACTATGAACTGCTTATTTTGTCTTCGGGCTTATTCTAAATAGTTAGTGCTTTTTCAGTTTGTTAAGATAAAAACTGAAAGAAAACAAGATTCTACCTTTTTTAAAAACATGAACTTTTTCCTTGCCTTGTGATTATTGAGCTAATTTTCAATTCTCCCTCCCCCCCCCCCCCACCCCCCCCCC